CAAACAAGAGGAAACAAGCTCCTTAGTCAAAGATGCGGCATTTCCCTGCTGGGAGCCACAGAGCCGAGAGCTGGGCAGTTTTAACAAAAATCTGTAGTAGGGTTTATCTCGGGTTGTTTCAGGAGCAGAGACATGAGGCGTAAAACAGGGGCGATGTGTTTTGCATGCCACAGGGGTGGCTGAGACGGGAAGGACCATAACCCGGGGCAGGGCTTTACGTACGCTGCAGTGTGCTTGCAATCCCGGCACGGCAGGGCTACTCCGTGTCGAGCTAGCGGCCCGTGTGTCCCCGTGCGTGGTCGCACGTGGCACGGTTTCAGCTGTTTCTGCTTTGCAAGGCAGGCAGTGCAGCAACATCGCTGCCTGGGGCAGAGAACGGTATCCTGGATGCGTGTGTGTGTGCATGTGTGACATGTACGTCTGACACCATGGAAAACAAATGCCTTTAGAAGAGAACTCGGGAAAGGCTCTGTTATGGTCCTCTGGACCATACCAGAGGACCATACTACAAAAGGAGTACGAGCAATAATTCAGATTGGAAATCTATGACCTTTAGCGTCTCCCAGATGCTATCACTTCGGTAATTTTGGTAACGGCTTCCCGAGCTTTATGCAAGTTGTAAAGGCTATTTTTTAGCTTGTGGAAGACAGTGGAATACATTGTGTGTCATTGCAAAAGTGGCTCTGCAGATATATGAATAGATTGACTAGATAATTCATCCAAACAGGCTGAGTTTGGACACAGGAATAAAATTTTATACAAGTTTTACCGGTTTTGAACTGCGAAGTGTGTCTATGCCAGACCTTCGGGTTTCACACGGTGACCAGCATCCAGCTGGCACTACGTCTGGAGACAGACCCAGAGATGTTTGGGGTTATTTCTTCCCTTTGGTGTTTTGGTTTGTACAGGGGTGACACAAATGCCACGATGGAGCGAGGCTGACGGCGTGAGACACGTTTGCTTGCGAAGCTTTGCAGTGTCTCCCCATGGCACGAGGCGTTTCCCCGTGCTTGGGATGAAAAATGCAGCTTCCCGACCAGTGCGGGAGCTCATCGGCAGGCAGGTCTCGCGCGCCGCATTTATCATTCCAGCTTCTGTCCCATGGGCAGCGTTCGGAAGAAGCTATTATAATCCCAGGCTGGCACCAGGAGCGGCCCTGCGATAGCGGAGCCGCGCCGGCCTGTTCGCCGCCAGCTGAACAACACGCGACCCATCCATCTTCCCGTGCTGCGGCGGTTCAGAGATCTTGCTAGTGCTAGTTATATAAAAAGAATCATTGACTTTAAGGGAAAAATGACTTCAATTTCCTCTGCAGATTAGACACCAAGGAAGCAAATTACCTACTTAACTTTTCCAAGTATGTCTCAGTCACCCCAAACAGTTGAGGGGAACGAACTGCGGATTGCTCTACTCGTGGTACTTCATAATCCCCCTTTTTTGAGGGAGGGAGTAAAACGAGACGATTGCAACATCCCCTGCAACATCCCCTGAGAGAACAGTCTAAAAAGATCAAGATTTGGAGTCTCGCTGCGGTGCGCGGCGGCTCCCGTTGCCCTCGGGTGTGCAGACAGCCCTTCCCATCAGCCAGACGTGAGCTCTCCCTCCTTACGAGCTGGAGCAACGCCGCAGGGAAAGCAGGAGGCAGGCGGAGCGGAAGGACAAGCCGGGGAGGGTCGGGGCGAGCAGGGAGCGGGCGCAGGAATGAGCAGCAAGTGGAAGGTTTTAGTTTTGTTTTCTGAAAGGAAAGAAAGAAACCCAAGTGAGCAAGGCAAGGACTGGAGCTTACTGTTAAGGCAGAGACTGTGCACCTCCTCTGGCACTGCCTGCGTGATGTTTTTGGGATCGTGCTGCATCTCCCAGGTAGTCTGTAGCCTGCTTAAGATCATTGTAGTTTTGATGGCTGAGCTATAAAAATCAAGAGCAAATTAGCATTTATAAACGTGATATTTCATGTGTATTTGCAAATGCAATTTATGCTACATGAAAAGCCCATTTGCAAACTCTGAATCATGAATTGCTCTAATCAGGAGTTACATGTAATTCACATAATTTTGAAAATTAATGATCCCAGCTCTACCTCACCACAACAGTGCCAAGGCAGAGTGGATTTGCGTTTTGAGGCACTAACTTCAATGCTCGGCAAGACGGTCATTTGCTTTCGGCTTCCTGCGTAGGCGTGCGGGGAGCTGGGCCGCCGCCGCAGGACACCAGCTGCCAGCGGAAGCCCTGCACACCCTTCCCACTGGAGGCTTATTTCACAGCACCGTGGCCACTGGGAAGGGAAAAGTTTTGTCTGTAAATCAGAAGCAGACAGTCTGAAGAGCAGCACAGCTTTTTAAAAGGTCGAGTTTCAGTGTACGCTAGCTGGGGAAAGTGCTCTGGGAGTAAAATGTAAATAGATGTGGCTGCACAGCAAGGGGAGCGGCATAATCAGTACACGATCTCTGCAGATGCTGAGCGCTCGTGTAATTAGGATCTCCCTCAATTTCTCACAGCGGGAAGAGAGTGAAGCGAAATGTGCGGAGGCCCAGGCGTCTCAGAAGACGATGGCCCTGGAGCTGGAGAACTTGCACACGGAGCTGGAGACCCTCAGCCGAAACAAGAACCTGGTACGTGCGCAGAGAGGCGGCCACGGCGGAGGACGGGCGACACCAGCTTCCTCCCATCCCTCATGGCAGCCTGGGGTTTGATCACCGCAATCAGCGTATTTAGGTTACAGGATGTGGAGGGAGAAATCTGTCCAGTATTTTTCAACTAAATCACCCAGCCGCTTTGGAGAACACAGCCCCTGGGTGGCTTAATGCAGGGATACAATTGCTCAAAAGGCGCAGCATCCCTTAGTCTCGCTCTGCAGATACGTGAGACACAACACACGGGTTCCATTTGTCTCTCCCTGGTTGACATGATATGCAAGCACAGAGCTAGAAATGGAAAAAACCCAGAGAAACACAGAGCGAGGCTATCAGCTGCAAATGCATCTGTGCCTGGGCAGAGGGTCCCCGCAGCCCGGGCTGAGCTCGCAGCCCCGCGGGTGCTGTGGGCAGTAGTAGGTGCCCCGGTGCTGTCCGTGAGTGGCAGCCCCCGTTTCTCCCTGGCAGGTTGAGGAGCAGCTCTACCAGCTCCAGCACGAGAGAGCAGATCTGCTGAGACGCATCGATGAGGACCAGGAGGATCTGAACGAACTCATGGAAAAGCACAAGGCTCTGATCGCCCAGGTAGGACCCGGCATGCTGGAAGGCTGTGTAGCATCCCCCTCCTAGGGAGGATGCTTGGGAAACACCCGGAGCCGAACCAAGACGGTCCCTCTCAGTGTTTAGGGGACTTTCACACTATAGGGCAGAGGCCTTGATGGGAGAAGGTGATGTCTAACTTCAAGAGGTATCTTGATCGTGTTTTTAATAGCTAGGAAATCCTATAGCATCCCCATCTGGATTCTTTTCAGTTCTTTCTTTCACTGTTTTCCCAGGCAGAGCTCAAAAAGTGCTGACAGGCAGCCCTGTGGCTCCCTGCATAATGTCCAAACTCAGACAGGCTCTCCCAAAGAAATGGAAGTGGAGCTGAGAGACTCCAAGGTTTCCAGCGGAGCAGCCGTTGGCCTGGGGTAGGCCAATGAGGCTGTAAAAATCCACAGCGTGGTACCCATTGCAAGGTGTTATGGACCTGGAACATGTATTTGGAATGACCTTCAGGAGAGAAATGACCTTTAAAAGGGGGTTTCCGACCTGCTGTGCAAATATTGGTTTCAGAAGTCAGGAGAGGAGCGTTCAGTCAGTAGAACTGAGCTCATTCAGTCCAGTGCAGGAGCAGCTTGCTATTTAGATACGTAGGAAGTGCCACCCCCTGCCTCAAAATCGACCTGAGCAAGCCTTCAAAACTGCACCACTTTGTGGCGTTTGCACTCTGCTCCAAGTTCTTGGCTTTGCTTCCGCTGCTGAAGTTTCTATTTCCTCAGTCTGCAACAGATATCGCTCAGATTCAGGAGCTACAGACCCAGGTGGAGGAAGCAAAGAAAGAAAAACAAAGTCTCCAAGAGAAAGTAAGTCCTTCCCTCCCCATAAGGCACTGAGCTCAGAATGGAAAACAATCCGTGCAGGAGGATTGTTGCCTGGAAGATTTCTGTGCCACGGTGTGTCTCAGGGCACCAGTCACGTGAATGCCGCGTTCCTGTTTAAAGTCAGATCAATTCCCTACCCAGATATTACAAAGAAATTTCTCCTTTGTAAAACAGTGAGGTTCCTCTTCTCTTCCTAACCCACTGTGCATGCACATGAGAGCGGCCCGACGAGCGCGGACGCCACAGCCGCGTCTCCCTGCGTACATCTGCCCAGGCGCGGGGAGGGCAGAGGGCCAAGAGCGAGCCGCCTCGTCAGCAAAGCTGCGCCGCTCTGCCAGCAAACGGTCCTGCGGCTGAAAAGAGTTTCCCCTGCAAGGCTCTCGGGACTGACGTTCCCCATTATCCCCCCATTTCCGAGCTGCTGGTGCTGTCGTCTCTGCAAGGCAGGACCGAGTCCTGCACTGCCAGATGAGGACTGATGGGTTTGAGCAGCGGGCTGGCCCTTGAGCAGTCTCAGTCAGGCATTGCTCTTCATCGCTTGTGCAGCTGCGGTGGCAGTCCTGGAGTGCATGTATTTAATTTTAAACACATGAGTAATCCCATTAACTTAAGTGCTTTATTGGAGCGTAGCTAAGCTGCCCAAGAATCAGGAGTAGGACTTGCCCACACCAAGGCACAATGGATGGTGCTTTAGAGATAGGCCAGATAAAAGAAGAAAAATTCCCATAGTGCTACGTCAAATATAAAATATGAACCAGACTTGTACTGGGACTGATGAAAAGGCAGTCTGCTTTGGAGGTCTCACTGTAACAGCTGGAGAAAAGACTCAGCTACAGGCAGGTCTGCACACAAAGATAAACTGTGAATTTTTACGTGTGCTGGCCTCAGAGGATTTGCTGAGAAGAGAAAAGTGAGAGACCTAAACAGGTACCATCTCACTGGAATATTTTCCCTTCAAAAATACACGTAGGTGTCATGCATTTATTGCACAGTGTTACCACAAATGAGTCCTTTAGGAAGCTTAAGGCAATATTTTCCCACAGTGCCTGGCAGCCTAACGCAGGTCTTGTACGCTCATTTTGTTTTTAGAGGGGAGTGTAGAAAGTCCTGTCACCTCAGTGGAATTTGTGTGGCCATGAGAGGTCCTCAGTGCACGTAGTACCAAGGAGAGAGATTAGTAGGAGAGCTGGGAGCACAGAATTAAAGGGACCTGAAACCTGCTTGCGCGGTTCGGAAACGGCAAGCTGCAGGGCTGAGAAAGTTGCTGGTGCATCGTGCCCTCACGCGCTGTCTCTCGCGGAGCAGCTGCAGGCGGCCGAGGCGAGACTGGCCCAGCTGGGGCGGTCGACGGTGGAGCGCGCCGTCGTCAGCCGGCAGGAAGCGCGCGTCTGCGACCTGCAGAACAGGCTGGAGTTTCAGAGCGGGCAGATCAAGGC